GAGTTGAAGATTCCGCACAAATGGAATTAAAACCGTGGATAGATCTAGAGTTTGTTTGAAGGGATTTTAGTTTTGATCTTTTGCTTGTTCAAATTTAGCGGTGCTTGCACTTTGAACTCCTTTTCTAATCTTAATGACCCGAGATTTTCACAATGTATAAATGTGAACACATAAGTTTTTAAATAATTTGTTTGAAATTTGAATGATAATTTAGATTTCGACGAGAATGCAAAAAGGTTACTTTTGATTTTTCTTAAATTCCAACAAAAATCGAGAGGAGAGCGGGACAAATAAAACAGAAATCACAGTTTGATTGAAACTTGGGTGGAAGCACAACCAAAGAAAATGAGAGTTCTATACAGATACACTTACTCCTATTAGGTTGATCTCACTACAAAAAAAATAAGGATTTAGCCACGGAAAATTAGCGACGAAAAATTATTCGTCGCTAATTGCAACGGAATTTGCGACGAAAAATTTTTCATGGCTAATTTGCGACGGAAAATTTTCCATGGCTAATTTGCGACGAAAAATTTTCCGTGGCTAATTTAGCTATGGATTTAGCCACGAAAATAAACTCTTGCTTCACTTTCCCGACTATTTTTTTTGTGGCTAAATTCGCGGCTAAATTAGTTGTAAAATATGTCTTGAATTTTATGTACTCGATCCGGTTCATCATTCGACCTAATATATTTTTTGTGCGACCCCAACCCTCTGCGTCATGAACAAATTTCTATGGTGGTTTGCCCAAGCTGGAGTAAGCGAGCAAATGTTGCTACGCCCCCGAATTTTTTTTTTTGAGAGCCCTATTTATACTGCGGCTAGGTTTTTTCATTGATTTAGCCACGGAAATAAATATAGTAGGAAAATGCCGCGATACTTAATTTTTGTGGCTAGATCCGTGGCTAATTAGCCACGGATTTAGCCACGGAAATAAATATAGTATGGAAATGCCGCGATACTTAATTTCCGTGGCTAAATCCGTGGCTAATTAGCCACGAATTTAGCCACGGAAATAAATATAGTAGGGAAATGCCGCAATATTTAATTTCCGTTGCTAAATCCGTGACTAATTAGCCATGGAAATTAATATAGTAAAAAATCGGCGTGTATGCGCAATTCGTGGCTAAATTCGTGGCAATCATGGTAAAAATAAGAACGTCACGGAGCCATTTCAAGAAACCATGGTAACGTTTTCTCTTCCTTCATAATGATTATTTTTACTAAATAAGTTATAGAGAAGTTTGTCCATTTACGTTCTGACATTAACAATGTTTTACAAATGCAGGAAGGAGGCTTGTGATGACAACTGTTACAATGAAATTACACAAATCAATTTCTTTAAAATTCTATTTGACAGTATTCAACCACTGATAATGAATGTTCTTAAAAATTTTTAAGTTGCTAATCTGTTTAAAAAGATGATATTTAAAAAAATAATCCTTTGCAAGGTCCCAAGGTATAATAAGAGTAAATACACTTTTTGATATATTTACTTCATATTTTGTATTTTATACCTAAATTTTCACTACTATTTCCATGGATTATGATGAAAGTAAAGATTAAGGCTAGTAAATATGAAATTCGTGGCTAAATCCGTGGCAAATTTGCCACGAATTTAGCCACGAATTTGAAAAAAATGAATTAGGCGTGTGTGGGCAATTTTTTCCAAATTCGTGGCTAAATCCATGGCAAATTTGTCACGGATTTAGCCACGAATTTGAAAAATAGGCTAGTAGAAATGAAATTCGTAACTAAATCTGTGGCAAATTTGCTACGGATTTAGCCACGAATTTGAAAAAATTTGAATTAGGCGTGTGTGGGCAATTTTTTTCTAATTCGTAGCAAATTTGCCACGGATTTAGCCACGAATTTCATTAAAGGCTAGTAAAAATGAAATTCGTGGCTAAATCCGTGGCAAATTTGCCACGGATTTAGCCACGAATTTGAAAAAAATTGAATTAGGCGAGTGTGGGCAATATTTTTCAAATTCATGGCTAAATCCGTGGCAAATTTGCCACGGATTTAGTCACGAATTTCATTAAAGGCTAGTAAAAATGAAATTCGTGGCTAAATCCGTGGCAAATTTGCCATGGATTTAGCCACGAATTTCAAAAAAAAAATGAATTAGGCGTGTGTGGATAATTTTTTTCAAATTCGTGGCTAAATCCGTGGAAAATTTGCCACGGATTTAGCCACGAATTTGGAAAATAGGCTAGTAGAAATGAAATTCGTGGCTGAATCCGTGGCAAATTTGTTACGGATTTAGCCACGAATTTGAAAAAAAATGAATTAGGCGTGTGTGGGCAATTTTTTTCAAATTCGTGGCTAAATACGTGGCAAATTTGCCACGGATTTAGCCACGAATTTAAAAAAAAATGAATTAGGCGTGTGTGGGCAATTTTTTTTAAATTCGTAATAAATTTGTCACGGATTTAGCCACGAATTTGAAAAAATTTGTATACCCCTCGCCCCGATTTTCTCTCTCTCTGTGTTCTCTCTCTCGCTCCCCACCCCCAAACCTCTCAATCACTAGGGGTGAGCGGTTCCGTGTTCCGGTAGGTTCCGCGGAACTGGAACCTACCCGTCGAACGTGAAACCCGGAACCTACTCCTCAATCACAGTTCCAAGGTCGGTTTCCAGTGGTCCTAATTCCTCTTTTTATTTATTTCATTTTTAGTTAAACAAAACGAAAAATGAATGCAATAATACCGAATAAGAGAGAATACAAAACAAACAAAATTATCAACAGAGGAAACATAATTGGCTGCTATTTGGCAAGGAATTTCATTAGATAAAAGAGAGGAAACATAACAAAAGTCACTAGACTTGTCACCAAGTTTCAATCACTAGACTTGTTAGAGGACATCGCAAAATGAAATGGATGCTGCTGCCGTGCAAGAGGCCATACGCATACGCATTACCTGCTATAGACATGTTGCTGCCGTGCAAGAGCTCCATGCAACGTAGACTAGAGAGTGACATCCCAGAAGTGGAAGCATACGCATTACCTGCTATAGACTCCGACCGTAGTCCTATCTTGCTAACTCTCTCAGCGGAACCTGCAAAAAGAAAGAGAGAAATTAAGTTTGAAGCATACTGGCTTGAAGATAATGAATGTGGTCAGCTAACAAAAAAGTTTTCTAATTGATATCATATGAACTAACAAGCATTAAAACAAGGAAAAGAAGTGGCATGTTGCAATTCTTGAGAATTCTTGAGAAACAATAAGTCATTGCACAACTATGGACCATAGAAAAAATTCAAAAATGGGTTACTTTTGACCAACCTATAGCTGTATATAACCAAGAAAAGAAAAATGCGTACACATTTTACCACACGGAATGAAAGGACTTCTCAAGTCATAAGCTTGACTACAAGTGCTTTTATTCTGAAGAGCAGAACAACGAAAGCATTTATCATGAACAGCACACTTCAGAAAATTATGTAACCCAACACCATCTTCGAAATCACAAACCGATGTGCATCCCGACACCAAAGAAACCGGATCCCTATGTTCTCCATAATCGGCCAATGAAATGAGGAGGCACACGACATAGACTCAAATCGCGGGAGAATGAATGCGATATAGATGAATCAAAGACTAATGTTGCGATTCAAGTAATGAAATGGGCAACCAAGTGTTTTGGTTAAAAAGTGTTTCCTTAAAAATAAACATAGCTTCATTCAGACATTATTACAAACATATGGTGGTCAGTTCGTACATATGGCACAGAGACAAGCTTGTGTGAGTCTGGTTCAAACATTTGGTAGAGCATGTGGAATGCCCGTGGTAAGGAGAAGGAATTTAACATTTTCCGAACTCGGACTCAGATCTAGACCCAAAGAAAATCATTCCGAGACAAACGAAAACTACCACATCAACCGACCCAAACTCAGCACCCCTATGGATCCCAAGACACGGAACTGAGCCACGACACCAAACACCCAATAAGAGCATCTTGATCACAACAGCTGGATTTCCCCCAATTCAAGACACCATGGCACCAAGGACCACCATGATTACCCCAAACTCAGCTTGCTCTCCCCGAAGCTACTCGAAATGCTCCACACGCGCGAAGCTCGAAGCACGACTAGCGCCTCCACACGCACTGGTCGACCCGTTTCGCCGCCAAACACGAGGCAAAAGACTAGAATCGGACCGCCGAACCGAACCGAAACGAACGACGACCAGCATCCGAGCTAAAATCGAGCTCGGCGCTCGACATCGCGGAAGGGAAAATCGAACATCACGCAGAAATCGAGAGAACAACGCCGGAAGCGCACCTTGGGCTGATCCGGGCGATTGCCGGAGGAATCCGCCGGGAAATGCAGGGGTCCACGGCCGCGAGACGGAGGGCCGCGAACGGTGAGAAAATCGTCGCTTCTCGCCGGAGATTCGTTCGATTGCGAGTGTAGAGAGAGAGTGGCGTGTATGTGAGAGTGAGTGAGTCTCGTGGATGGGTTTGAGGGGTGTGCGTGTGTGGCGAAACGGATGCTTTGGAATTTCAAAGGTGTGATTCAAGAGGAGCAGGAGCATTTGGGAATTCCGAATTAGGGTTCCTTCCTTCCAGGTTCCGGTTCCCGGTTCGATCCGGTTCCGGTTCCTATAGGAACCGGGAACCGGAACCGAGCAAGGGTTCCTAAAAATAGGGAACCGGGAACCGGACCCTCTGTCCATGGAACTGGAACCGAACCGGATCCATCGGGTCCGGTTCTCTGGTTCCCGGTTCTACTCTGGAACCGCGTTCACCCCTATCAATCACCCCGATTCTCTCTCTCTGTTCTCTCTCCCTCTCCCCACCCCCAAACCTCTCAATTCACCCCCAAAATCCAACCTCTAATTTGCTTGCGTCTCCGGCGAATTCGACGCCTCATCGTCGCAAATTCGCAGGTCCGATCTCGAATCCGGCGCTGCTTCTTGCGGTCTTCGGCGATGGCCACACCCGTCTAGGGTTTTCCCGGCTCCAAACCCGATCGATTCGGCGGCGCTTCCGACAATGGACGGCAACAATATTCCCCTCCCCCTTCTCGCATTGTTCTCGCCTCTCGCCGGTGGTTTCCGCCCCCTCGGAGCTCGGAATCAGTGGTTTTCCGGTTCGTTATCTCGAGTTTCTTCCAGCGGTTCGCCTGAATTCGGCGAGGTGCGATCGAGATTCGCCATGGCTAGCTCCGGCGATGGAGAGAACGGCGAGAACCGCCGGACGCGACCGGACCGCGACGAGCCCGGCGATCCGTCGTCGATCGACGCGTCCTCGGTGGAGTGCGGGCCGAGCTCGAGGGTTTCGAGGGGGGCAGCCGAGGAGATTGGGACTCTAAATCCAGGTTGCCAATCTTAAGTTGTTTCCCCTTTTTCTCTTTTTATGAGGTTTTGACTTTACCATGAAGAGTTAAATTCATAATGTGAAACTGGGAGTACGTGTTCTCAAAGTTGTGATTGTGAGCTGTTCTTGTGATCTCCTCGATTGTTCTAGTGGTGATTCATTTCTATTTTCCCTATGGATATTGGTTGTTGACTGAGTTGTGTGAATGTCTTATACATTATTTTACCATTTCTGCTTGCTGTGTCTAATGATTTAGACTTTTTTAATAGGATCTGACAAATGGAAAAGATACTTTGGTACCTGTGTTCGATTTTCAGCACAAAAGATGTGTCGGTTCAAAGACAATTAAGAGTGCTTCCTCTGGTGTGGTATGCTTCTATAACTCGGGGTTTGACATGTTGCTTGGCACTGTTGCAGTGGGTTCATTTGTTCTTCAATTAATTGTTTTAGGTGATTGTCGATGGTACTTATGCTCTACATGCGAGGTTGCGGTCTTTGCTAGATATTCGGGTTGCTGTTGTAATTTCTTTTTCAACAATTGCACGACTCATTTGATTCGTTCTTAAAGATAATTGTATGATCAGATTCGTCTCTTCTCTGGATCAGGTTGGTGGTGTCCATTTTAGCCTCCTTTCAAAGGTCCAATATGATATTGGAGACTCTTGTTCACTGGATTCTCTCATTGACAGCATCTTTCCATTGTTTAGGAGACAAATTGAGCCAGATTTACACCATGCACAGGTTGGTCTTTCATGTTTGCCATTTTTAAGCTTGCTGTCCTTGCTTATTTTTTGGACTTCTATGCAGATTAGAATCAACAATAGCTTTGTTTCATCATTCAGGGAAGCAATCTACAAGATAAAATGCAGAAGCGATGTTCCTATTGTGCAATTTTCAAATTTAAATCTGGGAGAAATCATTACCTTCACTAGGATAAGACTTTGACCTCATTCATGTTTATGTGCTTACTTTGTCTTTTTATTTGAGTCTGTATTTTGGTCATATATTTCTTGCCATCTATTACAGTGGATCTCTAATGAGTGCTAGTTCTGCTCTAGCTTCTTCTCCCTGTACATTTTTTAAATTTGTGTACCCCACTACTCTGTCCCCCCCTCCCTGCTTCCCCTCCCCACCCCAACAGTGAAATTCATATAGCAAAAAGTTATCCTGTGTAAACCATGAAATGCAGGTATAAAAGAGTGAGGATAGTTAAAATCATGATGGAACCTGTCCTATGTTAGTCATCTCAGGGTACAAAAGTTCTGAGATGGTCCCTGTTTTGGTGAACCTTTCTATGCGTGACCATACGAAGGGGCCTATTACTGATATGTCGGATAGTAATTTTTTTTGAATTCAGGAATTGCAATATTAAAGTAATACTCTGAAAAGACTAATTGAGTTTAGAGGGACTGATGCAGAGTTATGATCCAATGCTTATATGTAAACCCCATTGGGACTTGTGAGTACTTTTTTTTGTTTAACTAACAAAAAGAGGCAGTAATCTACTTCCTTGTTATTCTTGACACATTTTATTGTTCGATACTTTAGTTGTTCTTGGGATTCTTTAAAATTTGTTTCATGGTGTATAATCAACGAACTTTTTCGTCAATAGTGCCTTCTTCACAAGTAACAGTTGTGATGTGTATTTACATCATGATTACTTAAAATGCTGTGTTAAGAGTATGTCGTACTGAAAGTCATGATCCGTGGTAGTTTTTCAAGAAGTTATAAACAAAACATGCTATTATGAACACCATCCCCTGTTTGAATAAATTTTTCCTATGTGTTTTGTGGTGGGAACTTTGAATTAATAGTGCAACATAACGTTACAGTCTCCAGATTCCTTTCCTGCCCAGGTTCTCCAAGGAAATGAAGCTCAAACAGATAAGTAAGTATATCTGCAAGCTGCTACTCTTTGGTAACGAGTGAACTTGGTTGTGGGGGGTGACATCCTCTTTTGCTTTTAGCTTTATTGAGATGTACCTTAGACCTCCATCAGCCGGTGAAGAAGCACGAATAAACGATTGGATTAAGGTGCGTCAATCTAGTATTAGGTACTATCTTTCCCTGGGTGATCAAAGGATTGTGGACAAGCATTTCATTATCCGACCCAAAGCAGAGTTTGAGGTAAGAAACATCTCATATTTCATTACACTAAATAGTCGTCCTTTGAGTTGACTTGATGATTTACTATGCTGATGTCTTGTCCTCTTTATCAGTTTTGTAAGGTTTCTATTTCACTCCTATGAACCTTGACATGCAGCTAGATATAGCATTTGAGACAGTTTTCTTCTGCAATTTGAGAATTGGCATATGTAAGAATCAACTTACACACATATATTTGATAGTAGCCATGAGAGTAACGTGTCCATAGAATATTTCCAAACAACTGTATCAAGGAATTATGAAGATGGAAACTTTTGGTGGTACTCCCATTAATAGCCATAGTTGCTTCATTTTTTAAGTTGTCAATTTGTATGGCTACAAATAATTATGTTTACTCAATGCTGCATGTTAGATAATTGTCTGATCTCAACTGATAGTGTCATTTCATGGCTTTGACTAACTTTGTCTGAGCAGACTTGCCTTTTGCAATTTGGCAATTCAATAAAATTATTGACTTTGGCTGATTTTTTATCCTTGAGTTGTGTTCCTACTAAAATTCTGATGAATTGGGTGGCTATTCAGGTCTGTCTCTCTTTGATCTTATATTGAAACAGGTTGGACGGATGACACTAGGTGGATTGCTGGCTCTGGGTTACACAGTTGTGGTCAGTTCCAATTTGTGGCAAATTAACGACGAATACGATTCGTGGTAAATTAACCATGAATTTTGCCACGAATTTTTTTTATAAAAAAATAGAATATATTTTTTTGTTTTTTTGGGGCAAAATTAGCGACGAATTTTGCGACGAATACAGTTCGTTGCAAATTAGCCTCGAATTTTCCCACGAATTTTTTTTTATAAAAAAAATAGAATATTTTTTTTATTTTTTCGGGGCAAATTAGCCACGAATTTTGCCATGAATTTGTTTGTAAAAAAATAGAATTTTTTTTTGTTTTTTCGGGGCAAATTAGCGATGAATTTTGTGACGAATACATTTCGTGGCAAATTAGCCACGAATTTTGCCACGAATTTTTTTTAATAAACAAATAGAATATTTTTTCTTTGTTTTTCCGGGGCAAATTAGCGACGAATTTTGCGACGAATACATTTCGTGGCAAATTAGCCACGAATTTTTTGTAATAAAAAAAATAGAATATTTTTTTTTTGTTTTTTCGCGGCAAATTAGCGACGAATTTTGCGACAAATACAATTCGTGACAAATTAGCCACGAATTTTACCATGAATTTTTTTTAATAAAAAAAATAGAATAAATTTTTTTGTTTTTTCACGGCAAATTAGCGACGAATTTTGCGATGAACAACAATTCGTTAAAAATTAGCCACGAATTTTGCCAAGAATTTTTTTTATAAAAAAAATATAATATTTTTTTGTTTTTTCTCGGCAAATTAGCGACGAATTTTGTGACGAGTACAATTCGTGGCAAATTAGCCACGAATTTTGCCACGAATTTTTTTTATAAAAAAATAGAATATTTATTTTTGTTTTTTCGGGCAAATTAGCGAAGAATTTTGCGACGAATACAGTTCGTAGTAAATTAGTCACGAATTTTGCCACGAATAATTAGCGACGAATTTTGCCACGAATAATTAGCGACGAATTTTGCCACGAATTTTTTTTCATCACAATTTAGCGACGAAAATTGAAATTTTTTGTTGCTAAATTTTGCGATGACGTATTAGCGACAAAATTTTTTTCGTCGCAAATTCATTTAGCGAGGAATTTTGCCAAATTTTTCGTGGCAAAATTCGTGGCTAAAACCTTTTTTTTTTGTAGTGTCTCAATCACTACCATTGGAATTTTGGCTCTTTTTCCTAGTGACAATTATATGTATGACAGGGACAGACGGATGGTCGGCCTGGTGGAGCCTGTCACGGAGATCACCGCCAAGAATTGTGACCATATTACCATTGTCTCAGAGAGTTCCATAAATTCCCAGCAAGGATCCTTATTTGATGGATTTTTTAGCCCGAAAGATTTTATTGCAGATGCAGAACATCATTTGCATTGCACGTATATTTCCAAAGATCGACAAGCAAATCTCTTAGCTTGTAGATTGATGGGAGATGCTTTTTATTTTTGTGGGATCAAGTGCATGTTGAGTGGAAAAGAGCAGGTAAAGCGCCGATTCGAACGCGGCATAAAATGTGAAATCGGTTAAGGCGGAGATTTTCGTGGATTGATGATCGAGCTGAACAAGCCAGCCTCATGTTATCCTCTGTAGCAACAACCAAAAACTGATCGACGCTTCTATAATTGCCGTTGATAAGGTTGTTGTTCAGCCTCGAGCAAGAAGTGGACGTTTTTGGATTCCCTCTTTAAGCTTGAGGAAGAATCTCAGGGTGAGCACGTGTTTCATGACGATGGAGAGATGCTTTTAGAGAAAAGACATATATAAATAGATTGATTCTGCAGATATGGTTCCAAGTTCCAAGAGGATTTTAGCACAATTGCTTTATTAAAAACCCGACTTTTCAAAAAAACCTTCTAATAAAGGGAGTAAGTTTGGATTTATGTCTTTTATTCGATGAATTTAGGATAGTGAAGTCTGATATTACCTTCTTTAATGTAGTTCGTTTAGGATATTCACTTAGTATATAATATATGAGTTTATTATTTCTATTATTTTTAACATTTTAAATTAGTTGATATAATTTCATTTTATATTGAAAAATACCATAGGATCTAGTTGATTTTTTAGGTTAAGCTAGGCTTTTGCTATGTGCTGAATATTTCCTTTTCGGTTACTTTATCTAGTAAAGGTTGCAACTGTATTAATTTGTTATGTTCTATAGGATCATGTGGTTTGCCTCTTTCTAGAAATAAAAAACCTAAAGAGATTTTCGTCTGTGTGTGTACACTTCGGGTGTTCGTGTTTGCGAGTCGCGACTCGGTGCTTTTTGTGCCCGCTGCATCGAAGTTGAACTATGGAAAAAAAAGCCAGTAGAAGTCTCGACTTCAAGCAAGAATAAAGGCAGCTCGGGATCAAGGAATTAATAGACGAGTCCATTACACGCAAATAATAAGGAGAGTCTAGTCCTTGCAAGCCTCAAGACTAGACAACATAGATTATATTGCACACGCGAGAAGAATACTTAGAAAGAGTAAATAATACTTTGCGAACTATTTCCGATCCTTCGATTCGAGGAAGTTGCCTACGCGTCTCCCTGTGGCTTTTATTCGGAGTCGGAAATTGTAGTAGCTCATGCACAAGATCAGGGGGACCAAAAACACGACAACCTGCAAGCTCAGATAGATTCCCTCTGTGAGATTAGCTCCGACCCTTTCGGATTTCGGGAATCCGATTGCAGCCGTAGTATAGAAGGAGATACCGAGAAGCCACATTAGCAGGAAAACCGCGAAAGTGTGGGGCAATAGGGAAATAGCGGTGAACAAGATTGCGCCAATGGAGCCCAAGAAAACCGAACTGTTGAGGGCCGTGAACATGTATAGTTTTGAGCCGCTCAGGATAATGTTTCCGGCTTGATGTGGTTTTTCAACAGCAATGCCGCTGGAACTGGCAGTAACGACAGTGGAATTGGCTGCGGGTTTTGAAGAGTTATCGCCCCAGTATCCTCCTGGAGGACTGAGCGCGGCTTGGTAAGTGGCGGTCGCGATCAACGTAGACACTGTAAGGATTATGTTGCGAGTAGACTCATCGTGGCCCAACGTAATTATGAACTTCTCAAAAGCAGTTAGTTCCATGCTTAATAACTTTGATAGAGAGAGGCTGACAGATTTTTTGGCTACGCCTCGAACTCTACGTCTAAACAACTTCGCAAGATTTTGGAAGAATTCCAGTGCCTCCTTCTTCGCATCTTCTTTGGTAATCCAATGTAACGGGCTGATCTGGAAGAAATGCAAAGGGCACAAAATGAAGTATATATTTCTCGAATTTAAATTGCTGCTTTGACACTAGCCTTACTACTGTGCACAAATTCAGCTCATGCCATATAAGTTTGAGGGGATAAGGACGCGAAAAGTGATAACTTTCGTACGGCGCTCACTTGACGGTCATAATTTTTTTTTCGATTACTTGAGTGCCATGACTTCTGAAAAGACGTTCATTTGAGTTTCCTATAACTTTCAATCGATTACTTAAGTGCCATAACTTTCAATCGATTATTACCATAAATTCAAAAAAAAAATCATATAAGTGTCGAAAATCCAACGTGGCATGGCACCTATGATGAATGTTTTTTTTTTTTAAAATTATGATATTCAAGTAATCGATGGAAAAGTTATATAGCACTTAAGTGATTATGTCACTCAAATGAGTGCCATACGAGTCATACGAAAGTTATGACACTCCGAGTGATCGAAAAAAACAAAGTTACGACCCTCAAGTGGGCGTCGTACGAAAAGTATGACAATTGTGATGTCCTTTTCCCTAAGTTTGACAAATAAGCACAAGCATATGTAATCTTAGGCGTTGAAAATAGAAGTAAAAAATTGTTTGATAGTAGTTAAAAATGCATCACTGAATAACATTAATTTCTTGTCAAACATGGAACTGCGATTACTATTGACTGGTTTTAACAATATAATTGTGAAGATTCTAATTACTATCCTTTACACAGATTACTAGATTAAGTGAGTATTTTGACTATATTGAGTCTATTAATCAAATACTAATTAGGATTATCTCACAAGTTTAATATCAGTCAATGTTAAATTTATAATTTCCAACGCTTAATTGGGTTTTCATAGAGGCCCACATGTGACTATTAAATTAAACAAAACAATTAAAAATAATCTACATACTCATATTATCGCTATCTTAATATGAATTTTGCCAATAGGCATGAGGCCCTGCTGGTAAATGAATTGGAGGATGGGAACGTTAGTATCACAGATGTGGGATTTGACTCCCATGCTCTACAAAAGGCAGAGCAAAAGTCAAAAAACGAGTAGAGTTAGGAATAGGATAGACCCAAAAAAAAAAAATGAGTATTCAACTTTTTTTTATGAAAAGAACTACTTTTTGACCTAAATTTTCCAACCCATCTGAATGGCATTTATAAATTTGGATGGAGTAATTTGGAGAGAAATAAAATGATTAGAGTAATCACTAAGTGAACAAAGGAAGGTGAAAGAATGGATCAACCTGTGAAAATTGTATTCAATATGAGAGTGGAGCCGACCTTCTCGTGATGTCCATCCCTCCTAATCCCTTTTCTTCTCTCCATAAAAAAACAAACTAACAAACAAACAAACGAGGTGATCCCGTTCAAATCTCCTCTCTCTCTCTGAATGTTTCTAACATCATGTATTTTCAACTCTTGGTATTTCATTATCATAACATTTGTTCCGGGACTAGAGAATGTCGAATCAAAGATCGAACAGTAAAAGTACGAACAACCATGAAATCGTTAAATTATACCTCAAGTTGCTCAAGAATTTGCTCAAGTTGCGGCGCTCTAGATGCAACAATATCAAAGACGGTATTACCATCTTGGTCTTTCCGGTACAAGGTTTCTATCATATGGACTCGCTTAAGCCATCCAAACAAAATTTTAAATGCTGTGAAGTTGTCGTTCTTGGCGGCAACGTGAACAACAGTCTCGCATTGGCTCGTCAAGTCTTCGATGGAGGATTTGCAAGCGAATAGGAATTCAGCCAGGAGTTCTAGGAGCTCCTCGCTCTCCTGCTCATTGTCTCCTTTTTCCCCAGCTACAAAATGCAAGGGGGTGATCCCGCCTCTCCCTC